AGGCATGAACCACCTCGCCCAGCCGCTTCTGAGTCTTGATGTTCTCAGCTGCAAACGAGGTTAACAGTAGCACCAGCCTCATGTCTGTGGGGACATAGCACTTACGAAGGGTTTGAGTTTTGACCACACCAAATATTTGCTATGATTATCATTATTATTGTCTACCTCTGGTTCCCAGGGAGGCCTCTTTAGTTCTCAGCGAATGCTCCCTCATTCTGCAGAAATCTGTGAGCATCTGGGCACCACATGAAGAACTAAGTGTTTTTGCAACAGTGTGTGGTACACGAGGGGTGAGCCCTGCCCTGTCCTGGGGGCAGAGGTTCTGTTCTGGGAGTTTCGTATCTGTCCAGTCATGGCTTCACTGCACTGTGATGGCAATGAATTTTAATGGCATGCATTAGTTTTCACCCTTGCACTCTGCTGAACTGCGTATGATTTCTGGGAACAGCCAGGCCTGGTGATTCCTGCTGGTCAGCTGAGCCAGGCCTGGCGCCTGGTACCGGCAGAAGGGCCGGTCTCCCCTTCCAAGTGTCTGAGGGGCCTCACTTCACTTAAGAGCCGGGAAAAGTGGCGCGTATCTGGCAGTGCCTCTGACTTGGGGAGTGGTGGCTGGGCCTGAAGGCCTGGGCACAGTGGGGAGGCTGGGTGGGCAAGGGATGGGCAGGGAAAGACGGCAGGGCCTGGTGCAGATCTGGGGGGCTGGGGTGCCCTGCTCACATCCCCCACCTTGCCGTCGGGAGAATGGGGTGAGTGAGGAGGATGGCCTTGTTCCATCTCTCCCTCCCTCTGAAGAGCACGGGGCTTGGGCCAGGCAACCTGGCTTCAACTGGAATCCCCAGTCTCAATTTTCTCATCTGTGGAATGGGAATTACTAACGAGTTAACAGATCAGGACCCGACCCAGGGAAGAGCCCGGTCACCCTGGACTGTGGCTGCAGGTCTGACCTGGTTCATGGATATCAGAGCAGGGTGTGGGTGGGCCGGCGGCAGGGGCAACAGAAGAGGCGGCTGTGGCTAGGAGGGAACCATAGGCCGGGTCTGCTGTGCACTGGGGTGGGGTGGGGGGGACTCACTTTATTTCACCATCAGCACCTGTTTGCTTTTCCTGCCTGGGGAAGGGTGCATGAACTTGAGCAGCGCCCCCAGCAGGGCCAGGACGATGCCCACGAGCAGCACCAGCTTTAGCCCCTTAAGCACAGAGTCTGCCCTGCCCTGTGGGGCCTTCCTTGCTTCTTGCCACTGAGCCTCGTTCTCTCTCCACTGAGCCTCGTTCTCTCTCCACTGAGCCTCCAGCGTCTCCGGATTGGCGGCGGGGCTGAACTGGGCCACGAGCTCCTGCTGCACGAAGCACCTGTAGATGGCCGGCTGGAAGACCTGCAGCTGCCTGCCGCCGGTAGAGGGGTCGAGGAAGGTGGTGAAGTCCCGGCCGGAGAGCTGGCTCTCCCACGTCAGGGGGGTGTCATTGGCACGCCAGTTGACGGGCCTGCGAGGAGGACAAAGTCAGGTTCAGGGCCCAGGGAGAAAGGAGGGACGGACGTCTGAAGGGAGGTGGAGACAGCGGCACCCTTCTCCCTGGGGAACAGAAAATAAAGCACCACCCTCCCTTCAGCCCGCCAGCCCATCGAGCACTGTGCAGCTGTCCACCATGGGGTGGGGATGGTGCAGCTGGGGCTCCCTGGGGCTCCCAGGGCTCCACCCCTTGCTGGCTGGGTAACCTGGGCAAATGCCTCCAGCTCTTTGAGCTTCCATTTTCTCATCTAAAAATGACTCTAGACCAGGCTTAGTGGCTCACACCTGTAATCTCAGCATTTTCAGAGGCAAAGGCAGGAGGATGGCTTGAGCCCAGGAGTTTGGGCCCAGCCTGGGCAATAGAGTGAGACCTCATCTCTACAAAACTTAAAAACTTAGCCAAGTGTGGTGGTGCATGCCTGTAGTCCCAGCTACTGCGGAGGCTGAGATGGGAGAATCACCCGAGCCCGGGGAATTGAGGCTGCAGTGAGCTGTGATTGCACCACTGCACTCCAGCCAGGGTGACAGAGAAAGACCCTGTCTCTAGTAATAACAATAATAATAAACTATGTCTTTATGTGCCACAAGGGCAAGGATCTCTGTTGGTTGTGTTCTTCACTGTTTCCCAGGTCCCTAGAATGAAGCTTGGCATATAAATGAGCAGTGAACACGTATTTAGTGGAGAAATTAATCAGACACCGACACATCCATCGTGGCAGAAGAGCAGAGAGGATACTCCACAGACAATATCATAAAAGCATGTGCTCCCAGGTAGGTGCAGTGTGGAAATTTTTATTGGATGCTGGGGCAGGCACTCTAGTCTTTAGTACCCTGACACATCCCGATGACCCCATGTGGCCAGGGGCTAGCAAGACCTCTGCACTGAGTTGGATAGTGGCCCCCAAAAACACATGTCCTTCCCAAAACCTCAGAATGGAACGTTATTTGGGAATTGGGTCGTTGCAGATATAATCATCTAAGATGAGATCATATTGGAGTAGGTGGGCCCTCAGTCCAGTCTGACTGGTGTCCTTTTACGAAAAGGAGAAGGCCGGGCGTGGTGCTGCACACCTGCAATCCCAACACTTTGGGAGGCCAAAGCGGGCGAATCATCTGAAGTCAGGAGTTTGAGACCAGCCTGATCATCATGGTGAAACCCCATCTCTACGAAAAATACAAAAATTAGCCAGGCATGGTTGCGTATGCTTGTAATCCCAGCTACTCGGGAGGCTAAAACAGGAGAATTGTTTGAACCCGGGAGGCGGAGGTTGTAGTGAGCTGAGATAACATCATGGCACTCTAGCCTGGGAGACAGAGCGAGACTCTATCTCAAATAAATAAATAAATAAATAAACAAACAAATAAATAAATAAGAGAAAGAAAAGGAGAAAAGACACAGGGATATAGACACCGGGAAGAATGCCAAGTGATGATGGGCATTGGAGAGAAGCAGCCACAAGCCAGAGAAGGCTGAGGATCTCTGACTGCATCCAGAAGCCAGAAAAAGGGAAGGGAGGATTCTGCCCAGCTCACTCAGAGGGACTCAGAAGGAGCGTGGTTCTACTGACATCTTGGTTTCAGACTCCCAGTCTCCAGAAGGATGAGACAATGAGACAATTAATTTTTGAGGTTTTTTTTTTTTTTTTTTTTTTTTTTTGGTGGTCTCCCCCTTTCTTCTTTTTTTTTTTTTTTTTTTTTTTTTTGACAGGGTCTCACGCCGTCACCCAGGCTGGAGTGCAGTGGTCCAATCTCCCCTCACTGCAAACTCCCCCTCCTGGGTTCAAGCGATTGTTGTGCCTCAGCCTCCTGAGTTACTGAGATTGCAGGTGCCCAACACCACACCCGGATAATTTTTGTATTTTTAGTAGAGATGGGGGTTTCACCATGTTGGCCAGGCTGGTCTCGAACTCCTGACCTTAAGCAGTCTGCCTGCCTTAGCCTCCCAAAGTGCTGGGATTACAGGCATGAGCCACGACGTCTGGCAAATTTCTGTTGTTTTAAGCCACGCAGTTTGTGGTGCTTTGTTACGGCAGCCCTAGGAATCTAAGACAACCCCATTCTACAGATGATGAAACTGAGGCCAAAGTCACGCAGCTGGAAACTGGCAGAGTTGAGACTGAAACCCAAGCCTGGCTGAGTCCAGCGCCCCCATACAGAAACCTCACGAGAAATATGAGAAATGCCGCCCCATGGGCCTCCTTAGATTCTGCAGCGACCTCCCTCCATTCCTATCTCAAGGTCCCTGTGACTCGCACTCCGGAGCTCCTTGTGTGGCAAATGGTATGGAATAGGTACCCCCGAATAGATGGCAAGAGGGTTCACACCCACTTTCCTGAACTTTGGAATTGTGTTTTTCTTTTTCTTTCTTTTTTTTTTGAGACAGAGACTTGCTCTGTCACCCAGGCTGGAGTGCAGTGGCGCGATCTCAGCTCACTGGAACCTCCGCCTCCCAGGTTCAAGTGATTCTCCTGCCTCAGCCTCCTGAAAGCTGGGATTACAGGTGCCTGCCACCACGCCTGGCTAATTTTTGTATTTTTAGTAGAGACAGGGTTTCACCATGTTGGCCAGGCTGGTCTCGAACTCCTGACCTCAGGTGATCTGCCTGCCTCAGCCTCCCAAACTGCTAGGATTACAGGCATGAGCCACCATGCCTGGCCTGCATTTCTTATTAAGGGGCAGGTGGATTGGGGAAGAATAGGGGAAGGAGGGATTTTCCCCGGCTCCTGGCAGGAAGCAAGAAGACGAGTGAGTTCTGGGAGGTAGACCTTGATGGGAAGCCCTGGGGGCACCAGCCTCTCCTCCAGGGTCTCCTCTGACCTTCCCAGGTGAGGCAGGGGCCTGTTGGAGCCCCTAGGCTTCCTGGGCTTTCCCCGTCACAGCCCCATCCTTCTGCCTGGGTTTCTTGCATCCCTGCTCACACCCCCCTGGGCTGTCTCCCCCTCGGACTGTTTAAGACAGGACCTGGCACTGTCCTGATGACCACTGCGGGGCTGACCTGTATAGAATACCCCCTCGCCCCTCTGCACATATTACCACGAAGGAAGCCCCGACCGGAAGAATCTGGCTAGGGGCCAGAGGCAGGGATTCCATCACCTGTAGATGGATCCTAAGGGACAGTTGAGCCACACAAATTCTGTCTCTTCATCAAGGCTGAAGTTGTCAAAAATGACGTAATTCATCTTTAACTGTGTGTTGTTGCTGCACGGGACGTGGCAGGCTTCCACCTGCAGCTCAGGCCGCAAGCGGCTGGACCACACCTGCACGTCTCCCAGATAGAGCCAGCAGGGCATGGCTTCCTCCAGACGCTCCTCAATATAGCAGTACCCCAGGCGCTTACGCTCGCCAGGCTCCTCGCAGTGGTTGCAGTCCTGCCAGGGCTCCCACCGGGTAAAAATGAGCTCTTTGCCGCCCAGATGCAGGGTCTCGTTCTGCAGGGGTCTCTGACCCAGGCCCTTGTGTGTTACATGCAGGATGGTGACATCCTGGAAGTCAATCTCATACTGCACCACTTGGCGGTCATTCTTGTTCCAGCAGTGGTAGAGGCCCGTCTGGGAGGGCAATGGATCTTTAATGAGAAGGCTGCCCTCAGGCATTATTTCCATATTGGAAATATTGGTGAGGCTGGTGAATGTGCCCTTCTCGCCTCGTGTGAATAAATAGTACCAGCGTGCCCCCGAGGAGTTGCAGTACAGGAGAATATCATTGCCGGAGAGGAGGGCCTGTCGGCACTGGTTACCACTGGGGCAGCTGATGGAAAAGTAGAACCCCAGCGCTGGGGCAACAACCTGGAGCAGCAGCCACAGCATGGGTGGCATGGTGGACTGGGGCTGTGGCAGCAGGCCGGTGCCACCCTGGACATTGTGAGGTCACCCATGAACTCTGGCCTCAGCCCTGGGCAGCAGGATGAACTGCAGGCCACCCCATGGGTGTGTGAGATCACCATCCCCTTTTGTTTTGTGACAAGCTGACAACACTACATTTTTTTTTGAGACAGAGTTTTGCTCTTGTTGCCCAGGCTGGAGGGCAGTGGCGCGACCTCAGCTCACCACAATCTCCGCCTTCCGGATTCAAGCGATTGTCCGGCCTCAGCCTCCCGAGTAGCTGGGACTACAGGCACCCACCACCATACCCAGCTAATTTTTATACTTTTAGTAGAGACGGGGTTTCGCCATGTTGGCCAGACTGGTCTCGAACTCCTGACCTTGTGATCCTCCCGCCTCAGCCTCCCAAAGTGCTAGGATTACAGGCGTGAGCCACTGTGCCCCCACTAACCGCACTTAATTTGTCTATTCAAAGTGTTCTCCACCATCTGCCTCCCTTCCTTTCCCAGGGGTGAGACTACATTCCCAGGGATGGAACAAGAGCATGAAAGTGTCACATGTGAACATTCATCACATATTTCCTCAACTCTTACTATGTTCTGGGAACGCTTCTCAGCACTGGGGATAAACTAGTAAGCAAATCCTCTCTGGGGCCAGGCACGCGGGCACGGTGGCTCACGCCTGTAATCTCAGCACTTTGGGAGGCCGAGGTGGGTGGATTACGTGAGGTCAGGAGTTCGAGACTAGCCTGGCCAACGTAGTGAAACCATGTCTCTACTAAAATACAAATATTAGCCGGGTATGGTGGTGTGTGCCTGCAGTCCCAGCTACTTGGGAGGCTGAAGCAGGGGAATTGCTTGAACCCGGGAGGCAGGGACTGCAATGAGCCAAGTTCATGCTGTTGCACT